GAACAAAACATAAATATAACAATTCTTCTGTTTCCTACATTGCCAAAAACCGCCTAGGACAAGCTCACAATCCCTGAAGGAAAGTCTCATTTTCCCTATAACATATATATATTATATAAACGTAATAAGAATAAACGAGATCGATGTTCAAGACATTTCGGATAACGGATAAATGTCTTGCAAATTCGGAATCGTTGGGGTTTTCGGAGCCCATTCGACAGACAGTGGAACCATCCTCGGAAGCAAAGTGAAATTCCTGGATTCCTCGGGTATACTCGTACTCCATGGACGAATACTCGAAATTCCACGACGTCCCGTGGTGATGTCGTTCGATTCGGTGATTTGCCGGTACGACACGGCGAACATGAACCGGAGCTTGTAACGTCGACGTGTAAGTCGAGGCCGCTCCTCGTGCCGATAAACACTTCAGCCTGTGGGATGTCCAGGCTGACAGTCGAAGTTACGCTGATGAGCCCAATAAGAGGAGGAGGATGAGGAGGAGGAGTAGGAGGCGGCGGAACAAGAGGAAGAGGAAGAAGAGAAAAGTCGACAGGCTTCTTCTCAAGGAAGAAAAGAAGGAAAAAAAGAAGCAAGGTAAATGGAAAAAAAAGAAAAAAAAAGAAAAAATAGAAAGACTCGATCTTCCGTTGATCATTCGTTCGTTGAAGCTACTACCAAACATCTTCTACAGGAGACGTACTTACCTATCTTCTTACTTTCCTACCTTCCTACTGCTGATCCTTGCTTAGGTAACTAGCTTTACGAGTTTTAAATCAATCGACTAACTCTTTACAGTATATACTTGGGAGCTTTCCTGCCGATTCTTACCGAGATTATACGGAAACGTTCTAAACCTTTAAGAAAAGGATACTAATGAAACGTCCTTTTAACGTCGATCTTTTCCATAATACTGATCGTTTAAATCAACTAATGGATCTAACGAACCCTCTCTTCCCGACATACAAATAATTTAAATCTATTTATTTAGATATTTTCCTATTTTTATCTGGCCTCAAGCCAAAATCTAGAAATATTGTCAAGCAAATAATACCACTTGCCACGATTTTCGTAGACTCCTTTAAAATGGGTTTGGATGGGAAACAACAATTCCATAGTTTGGATCATCGAGAACAACGAGACTTTCGAAATGGGAAGGGTACTATTATAAGAGGGTTTGGCAACACGTTAATGAGCTTGAAACAAAAGAATCCTTCCCAAGCAAACCCCCCGCGGGGCTTAAAAACTCCAGGGGGTTGGTGGCGCCAGGGGCTGTCATCACGTGTCAAATTCTCGGTTATGATACGTTCCAGGTAGATGTAAGTTTTTCCGGCTATAGTCAAGTTTGACTTTCAACCAGGTAAAACACCTTTTTATTCTCGACACTTGGTTAACCAAATTTAGGAAAACGGTCGTCGACTGTTATTAAACCACTCTTTAAACTTCGAAGATTCATCGATTAGATAACACGTTTAATATTTCTCTACCGTTAATATTACCCATCGTTGACATTGAAAACCGACATTGGTCGGTCCACCCCGTTGTTAAACCATTCCTTCCTCCTAACATTAATTACATTTCTTCTTCAAAATATTAACGAGTTTTCTAAGACATCCGGCATAGTTTTTTTTAATTACAATAACTCACGTTTCTTTTATTAGAAAGCATGTTGAATCATTCGAAGGTTCGAATCGTTCGGGACTATCCGAAAATCTAATCGGACCAAATGTCCATAAAAAAAAAGAGAAAAAAAAAAAGGATCAAAGAAAACTCACGCGAAGGAATCAAATATTTCGTTGTGATTGGAAAAAAAAAATGATATAATATAATCGTCGCGAAATAGACGTAGAGAAAGAAAAAGAAAACAAAAGGAAAATGAAAGAGAGAGAGAGAATAAAAAAAAGGGGATAGATTGAAAGTAAACTTATTAGAATGAATAAAACGGTGGTATCACATGCATATATCCCGTTTAGCAGGCGCATGCGCCGTTTAGCAATCTGGTTAAGACATCTAACAGTCGATCCGGAGCATCAATTGTCCTTCGTGAGTATATAAGCTTACCGCAAGGAGACGAGACAATAGTTGTTCGCTCTTGTGGTATGCGCCAGACCACACACGCCGGCGCCATACCCACACCGAAAGAAAGGGTGAACATACGAGCGGTGTAAACGTATTTCAAACACCCAGCCTACGTGGAAACGATAAATAAACTATAACTAACCGCCCTCGGAGCCGGTGACAGGTGAATGGTGAATCCTCTTGTTAGCCCCCAAGAAGAGAAAGAGAAAGAATAAGAGTCAAAGTTAGAGAAAGGGAGAAAGAGAGACAAACACACATATACATACATACACACATAGATAAGAGGAAATCTCTCTTTCTCTCTTTCTCATACGTTTTACGGGGAAACCTGGACCCAACGGGGAAGAAGAAGAAGAAGAAGAAGAAGAAGAAGAAGAAGAAGCATACGAACCGCCGGTTGCTGATTCTATTGCCTGGTTCGTTGGTCCGTTCGGACGACGCCTTCTATCTCTCTCTCTTTTTCTTTCTCTCTCTCTCTCTCTCTCTCTGTCTTCTCTTTATGCGTATACGAGAACTTCGCCTTGGAGATATTGCGCCAGGAGAAACGAGGGACCGGCCACCGTGTCGGGACAGAGAGCAGGGATTATCGATGTAAGTCACCGAGAACAAAGGGCTCTTCTCCTCGAGCCGATGGAATAAATCGGTGCGATCGATGATACTAGGATTCGCCCACTCCTCTCTCTCTCTTTCTCTTTCTGTCTCTTTCTCTCTCTGTTTCAATCTATCCATCTATCTATCCATTTCTCTAGTCGTCTTTCTGTCCTTCTGTCGCACTGCGACGAAGATCCTACATCGCGGAGTTATCTTGTCCTCTTCTTCTTCTTCTTCTTCTTCTTCCCTTAGATCTCATTTTGATTCTTATTTTGGTAAAAGTCATTTGCGATAGGTGTCGATCAATGATTTATTTTAATTCTAATTTTTATATTGACACCCCACGTAAAAGGGTTACAGTTGAATTTCAAAAAGTTCGTACATTTTTCTTCTTTTCTTTCCGTATAAGAATAAAAATAATTATTTCATTTATCAAATATAAACATATTGTGTATTTTAACGATTCTGTTTTTTTTCTCTCTCTCTCTCTCTCTTTTTTTTATTTTATTTTATTTCAATGCAAATCTTTTTTAAAAGCAATCCAAACAGGACTCGAGTATCATCTACGTGTTTTATATTTTTCTATAGTAAAATGAAAGATTAGATCTAAGCTCATAGGTTTTATCTAAACTATACCTATATATATATATACGTCTATGAGTTTTCTTCAAATGTTATGCGGATGATCTAAGCTCATAGGTTTTATCTAAACTATACCTATATATATATATACGTCTATGAGTTTTCTTCAAATGTTATGCGGATGATCTAAGCTAGAAGCATAGACTGAATCCTAATAGTATCAACTTAGGCTAACGTTCAAAGGAGGATAAGAATGGGAAAAAGAAATACCGACCTTGTTCTCGCTCTTCTGAGGTTTTGCGAAATCTATCAAACAATCGTTGAAAGTATTGGCTATATACAGCCAATGGGCATTTGTTGAGAACCGTTTAGGCTGACAATAGTAATGGATACGTTTAATTCAATTGCTAGAAAGGCCCTTAAAGGGCCTTAAAGAACCCCTGTCAAGGCTTGTCTGTACCTGAGTTATAACGACTACCATGTCAGAGAAAAATATATTGGATAAGCGTGACACAACTCTCTCTCTCTCTCTCTTTCTCTTTCTCTCTCTTTCTCTATCTTATTCTATTATTTACAGTGTAATAGGTAAAATGTGTAAGGTACGTTGAACATTTTCCTGATGTTCAGGTCAAAAAGGAACAAACCGTGATACGCTTAACCAATTTCTCACGAGAATGGCAGAGAAATTTGCTTAAAATTAGACCTTTCTTCGAGATGGTTACTGAAGCTTTCATTTTCATTGCTACTCGATTGTGAATATCATTTGAATTGTTCATTCTTATTACATTTTTATTCTTATCTTGTATCAAAATGTTATATTATATCGACAATTAGATAAAAAAAAATTGACGATGAAGATATTGTTATTAGTTCGATGAGAGATTTTATTTAGAATCTAGAGTAATATTATTTTGATTATATTATTGTTATTAGATATAATCAAAAATAATTCATATCTCTTATTAGATTAATATAATAATATATAATTGAAAAAAATGATACACGAAGTGTATAAATTGATGATTACATTTATATTTTAAAAATCGATCATTCGTACTTTTCATAATTCAATTATCGAATGAAAAAATCTTATTGTTGTTGTCTCGTGAAACAAATATATTGTTTTATCTCGTGACTATTTATCTAAGTATTTCTATCTATCTCTGGATAGAGAACCAACTCACCGATTAGTCCACGCGTAACCCTCGAATGAATCATTTCGTCCTCGTCGAATAAACAGAAAAGAAAATGAAAAATTGTACGAGCGGTGGTATATAGCAATACGAAGAGTTTCGAGATTTTTCGTCGGCTGGAAATGAAAAATAAAAGAAACAGAAAAAAGAAGAAAAAAAAAAAAAGAGAGGAAGCTGTGTGTAGCCATTCGACGAGAATAGAAACCGATCTTAAGCCTTGGCAACTAAAAGAGAAAAAGAGAGGGACACCTTTGTTAGTGGGAAATTAGGCTTGAAACGTCGAGAAAATAATGCTCCTACGGGTATACCATACTTGTATATATATATACAGGGTGTTCTATAAATTGTTAGTACCAACAATCCCATAGACGAAAAATACAAATAAATCTAGATCGCGGAATATTATTTTTTTTTTTGGAAATTCATTTGTTAAGGATATTTCTTGTTATTCTGTAAAGATAATTTTTAATTATTTTCTTTAAATCAATTTTCTGATTATAACAAAATGTTAAATACAGAAAAAAAGAAAAAGATTGGAGAGAAGTAATGCGTTCACACTGTATATATATATAAAAAAAAAAAAATAAGATCTGGAAATGTTCTTTCCATTCCTTTTTTTCGCTCGAGCTGATCTCGTTAAACGGATCGAAATTCTCTTCCTTCTTTCATCTTCTTCATCTTCATCTTCTTCTTCTACTTCTTCTTCTTTTTCTCTTTCCGCTTCTCATCCTTTATTTGTAGATATCACCGATCCGCGAAATGGTTTCTAGGATTGTTTACGAAGTGGATAAGAAGACACGTTCTTATTCTTATTCTGGCCTAAGTCCTATTATGCTTTTCTATCTTTCCCTTTGTACCGTAGTTTTCAACGAAGCGTGTTAAAGGACGGAACGATCTAACTCGAGAGGAAAGGATTTCCAAAGTGTTTTTGGTTTAAATTGAGCTTTCATGTGCCGCCCTGTAGATTAACGTTCGAACAAATAATAACGTATGTATCTTCGATACGAACAAAGAAATACGAATAAAACGATTGCAATAATAATTTTTAAGTAATAATAACAACATTTTTCATACAATATAATAATATAAAGTTAATGAAAATTTTTGATTAGAATATCTTTGGGAGGGATAGGCGGTAAAGAAAACAAAAGAAAAATTAAATGAGAAAAATAAGAAATTGATTTTTGATAAGAATTTTAGCGAAAGTTACGACAATTCGTTTAACAAATTATCCGAACACTTTAGCAAATAATTTACTTGAAAATTCAAACTTAATACGTAGACTAAATAGATATTCTGTCTTTGTGATTTAAAAATAAGAGTTATACAATATACTAATTATAATTAATGAAATATTTCTCACCGGGGCAAATGTTCAAATACTTTCGTGAGTCACTGTATATTCGTCCATAGCACTGAAAGGGTTAATAAGAAAAAGAAAATAATAGAAAAAAAAGATTGTTGATGAGAGAAGAGCAAGCTCAAAACTTACGCAACTCTGTCGTCGTCTCCTCATCCTCATCGTCCTCGTCGTCTTCGTCCTCGTCGTCGTCGTCGTGACATAGTGATTCGGTTTAGGTCGGTCTGATGCGAGTCGTCCGTCCCCCTCTGACCGGCCCTGCTGGCTGGCTGGCTGGCTGGCCCTGCTAGCTGGCTGGCTGGCCCTGCTGGCTGGCCCATTCTCAGATCCAAGAGAGTTCGCCGCTCGGAATCGGCGGGACGTAAAGAAGAACAGGGGCTCGACACGAGCGGCAAATGAAATGCATGTCTTGTGCTTTTTACGTGGACGGGCCCGGCCGGCCGGCAGGCCTGACGACATCCTCCGCTCGAGCTCCGAGAAACCAAAAGGAAAAGGAACAAGAGAAGGAGGTTGGTCCGAGTAACCTGGGCAACCGAGTGAGATGAAAGATTCAGGTAGAACCACGAGAGCGACAAGGAGACCGATACTTTCCGACTCAAGAACACCCTGGAGATCTGAGATCGAGTTAAGATAATTGCTCGTTTGTTTAAACATTTGACCGACCGCCCGTTTCAACGGCCCCCGTCCTTTTTCTTCCCTCCCCCCTTCTCTTCCTTTACCTTTTTTTATTTTTATTTTTATTTTCTATTCCTTTTTTGGTACCCTCCGCGTGCTGACTATACATATACTTATTATATATATATACGTGTGATTTGGTTTGTAATCAAAAACGGACTCTTCTCTTGCTCCCCATCACCCCTGCTACGATTTTCGATTCAAATATTTTGTAAATAAATGTTGTTCTTATTTTTGTTCATATTCAAACGACGCACCACGTGTATATTTGATAATATTAAAATGAATAAAATAATACAAGGATCTCACATTGTTGGATCTCTCTTATTGTTAGATATTTTGATTTGGAGAGAATGAAAATGCTTTTTATCGGTGAGTTACATGAACGTTATTCTGAGAAAGAAATATCTTGCAAGGTAGATGAGAAAAAGAAAGAAAAAAAAAGAAAAGAAAATAAAATATTGTTCGTGCATCCTGCGACTCGCTGTTGTCCTGGTCCCCCCCCCCCCGTGTAAACATCGACATTCGCTATCCGATCTCAGGAATCTAAGAACAAATATTGTATTTCGTAGATACTTATATTCTTTTATACGTTAACATTCTTTTTTATTTTTTTTTTTTCTACTTCTTCTTACCATTCGCGAATTACATCCACGTTTCTTTTTCTTTTTATTTTCTTTCCCTTTTCATATATTTAATATTCTTTTAAAAAATGAACACACACGTACTGTGGAAATAAAAATCTTTGAAGTTACGTATCGACTGTGACAACTTATCTTCAAAAGTTGTTGCCTTATTCTCGAAGAAACTTCGTCGTTGTCGTCGTCGTCGTTTACATTTACGTTTTAATTTAAAAAGAAAAAGACTACGTGGGATACGAGATATACTAAAAATAAAATAAATACGCGTACACATACATACAAATAAAGAAAGAGAGACGGAAAGATAGAAAATATGCAATGTCACGAAGTCGAGTCGACAAGAAGGGGTGAGTTTGAAGGGGTGGTATTCTCCATGCTCTGATAACTCTACTATCTCTCTCTATCTATCTTTCTCTCTCTCACACTTACTGTTTGCACCGTAACCGCGAGCTCGTTCGCGACATTAAGAGGTTCGTTCAAGGAGAGGAGTGGAGAGGAGAGGTGAGGAGAGGAGTAAAGAGGAGAGGAAAAGGAAGCAAGCAAGCTGATAGATGAGGAGAAAGACGCCTCGGAGGGACGCCTAGCATCTTCCGTTTCTTCCTTCAGGAAACGTTACTAAGGATCTCACCAACACCTTCGCAAAGTTTCATTGGGTGTGTGTATATGTGTGTTTAAGAATTTTATCGATAAACTTATTTGTTTTTTCCCTCGTTATTTTTCACTCGTTACATTTGTTCATGATATTTGTAAGTATTGTGGGGTTTGGTAAAATGTTTTTTGTTATTTTGTTTTTTTTTTTTTTTTTTTGACAGAAATCGAATTAATGGAAATTGTTAAATAATATAATTTAGGGAAGAAATGTGAATTGTTGTTTGATTTAATTATCTATCATCATTCGTATATACCGAATTTATTTTGATTATTTTTCATCGTATATTAATCTA